AGTGAGACCTCTTCAATCAACATGCGCTACACTGGCACCTGCTGGAAACGGGAGGACAGAGGGGAGGTGTTGAGTGTGACACCTCAAAACATTATGCCTTGCACTGGCACCTGCTGGAAAGGGGAGGAAAATGGCATCATGCAAGGAATGAGAAGGCATCATGCAGGGAACGGCAAGGCACCTTGAGGGAATGAGAAGGCACATGATTTTTATGTGCCCTAGTACATTGTTTTGCTTTTGTGTTCATACATCCATGCATCGTTCTGGTTCACTCTTACCACGTGGGCGTGCGCGTCAGCTTGCCCCACCCCGTGCTGCACTGTCACGCCCCGCTGGCAGCTGCTGAAACACGGGGAGGGAGGGAGGGAGGGAGGGAGGAGAGGGGAGGGGAGGGGAGATGAGGCATTGGTCAAATGACTCGAAACAGAGGGGAGAGAGGAGGGGACTGGTCAAATGACTCAAAACAAAGAGGAGAGAGGAGGGGATTGGTGAAAAGACTCAAAACTGAGGGGAGAGAGGAGGGGATTGGTCAAATGAGTCGAAACAAAGAGGAGAGAGGAGGGGATAGGTGAAATGACTCAAAACAGAGAGAGAGGAGGGGATTGGTCAAATGGCTCAAAACAGAGGGGAGAGAAGAGGGGATTGGTCAAATGACTCAGAACAGAGGGGAGATAGGAGGGGATTGGTCAAATGATTCAAAACAGAGGGGAGAGACGAGGGGATTGGTCAAATGACTCAAAACAAAGAGGAGAGAGGAGGGGATTGGTGAAAAGACTCAAAACTGAGGGGAGAGAGGAGGGGATTGGTCAAATGAGTCGAAACAAAGAGGAGAGAGGAGGGGATAGGTGAAATGACTCAAAACAGAGAGAGAGGAGGGGATTGGTCAAATGACTCAAAACAAATAGGAGAGAGGAGGGGATTGGACAAATGACTCAAAACAAATAGGAGAGAGGAGGGGATTGGTCAAATGACTCAAAACAGAGAGGAGAGAGGAGGGGATTGGTGAAATGACTCAAAACTGAGGGGAGAGAGGAGGGGATTGGTCAAATGACTCAAAACAAAGAGGAGAGAGAGGAGGGGATTGGTGAAATGACTCGAAACAAAGAGGAGAGAGGAGGGGATTGGTTAAATGACTCAAAACGAATAGGAGAGATGAGGGGATTGGTCAAATGACTCAAAACAGAGGGAAGAGAGTAGGGGATTGGTCAAATGACTCAAAACAGGGGGAAGAGAGGAGGGGATTGGTCAAATGACTCAAAACAAAGAGGGGAGAGGAGGGGATTGGTCAAATGACTCAAAACAGAGGGGAGAGAGTAGGGGATTGGTCAAATGACTCAAAACAGGGGGAAGAGAGGAGGGGATTGGTCAAATGACTCAAAACAAAGAGGAGAGAGGAGGGGATTGGTCAAATGACTCAAAACAGAGGGGAGAGAGGAGGGGATTGGTCAAATGACTCAAAACAAAGAGGAGAGAGGAGGGGATTGGTCAAATGACTCAAAACAAAGGGGACAGAGGAGGGGATTGGTCAAATGACTCACAACGCACCTGGGGCTGGTTTGGTGGGCCATGCGGCATGGCATGGCGCTGCGCTCCCTCCTCCTGCTTCTGTTTCTCTCCCTTGTTCTCTCTCATGTCCCGCGCATGGATGAACAGGGACGGCCACACAAGCAGCTGGCAACGCATCTGCTCCCTGTGCAAAGTATCTTCATCTTGGCGACAGGAGAAACTGGCACCTGCGCAAGGGGAGGGGAGGAGTTGGGGTGGGGGAGCAGAGCAAGTGAGCGGGGGGAGCAGGGCAAGTGAGCGGGGGGAGCACCCTAAACCCCCTTACCCCCTTACCTGGCAGGAAATGAGAAGGCACCATGCAGGGAATGCGAATGCACCTGGCAGGGCATGCCAAGGCACCATGCAGGGCATGAGAATTTACCGGGCAGGGCATGAGAAGGCACCATGCAGGGCATGGGAAGGCACCTGGCAGAAGGGGGGAAGTGGGGAAAGAGGGGAGGGGGTGGGTGAGACATGCTCAAATGGGCAAGCGCTGCACTGGTACCTGGCAGAAAGGGGAGGGGAGAGGGTGGCCTGGATGTCTCAACGTTCCCCAGAGCGCCATGAGCAGCGCCGTCGTTGTCGTTGGCGTGTCAGCGGCATGGCAATTGGCATGACAGCGGCGTGGCATCGGCGCCCTGAAGCGGAGCTAAACGGAAATCGCCATGTTTGGTGGCAGATTTTGGATGTGGAATGCCGCATTGCTGCTGGCTCCTGGAACGGCAGATGACGAGCTTGTGCTGGCTGCAGCGTGCCTGCCATGACCATGCACACGTCAGCACGAACACGGACAAGCAGAAATCGGAACAAACGGAGCTAAGAAGAGGGAATCTACGAAGAAAACGAAATTACTGGAAACAAGACTGAAGATAGCGTGAGTAAGAAAGCGGGCTTACGAAATACTAATGCCATGGCCCATGGCGGATGGCGATCCAAAAGAGAGGCTGCGCTCTTGAGTAGAATGGCTTGAGATTGAAACGAGATCTGGAAAAAAAAAAAATAGCAAACGAAATCACGAAAAACGAAACTACGATAGCGTGACTGCGACTAAGAAAGCAGGCTTACGAAATGGTGATGCCATGCCCCATGGCGGAGGGCGATCTAGAAGAGAGGCTCGGATGTTGAGTTGAGATAGAGTGGCGGATGATAAGAATCGAGGTCTGAAAAACGGGAGTGGGAGTTAGGTGAGCGATTGTGAGCCCAGCCCACTCACATCACGTTTCGTGCACTTTCTGGCTTGCTTGGTCCCCCTGAACGAACGTGGGTTCGTGGTGCAAAGTGGATGTACTGAAGTAGCGTTCTGCACAGTGCTACGTCGGCAGCGCAGTGACAAAGTCGGAAAGTCGGTTTGGGTGCCCTGCGTATATGCAGTCCGACACTCCGATACAGCGAGCGCGACCCAAAGTGAATGTGCCAGCATTTACAGTGACAAATTCGCAGCGCGAATAGGTTTCGCTCGTCAGCTGTGCCCAAAACGAGAACAGCAAAACAGTATCTTGCAAAACTACAGCTTTCCACATGTCAGTAAACAGAACAGATTTTGCTGATTTACAAGCTACACATGTAAGTTGACAAATATGTTTGTGTAATCTGGAGCTTATGCATGTAGGTCAACAAATCAATGACAAATTAGCTCTGGAATAATGAGCTGAATATTAAGGAACGTGCGCATCTGCATGCGTATATGCATGAATACTCGCATGTCTGGTACCTACCTATTTAACCTAGACGCGCGTAGACATACGTATGCATGCGTACGTATGCCTTCATGCACGTAGTGCGTCTACCTACCGTACACACTCGTACGCGACGCATATGTACATAACCGTACATGCACCAACGCGTACGCACTCGTACGACCGACCTTTTTCTTTGCCCGCGCAAAGAGAGCCGTTGATATCGTCTCGCCGGGGACAATCGCTCTTGCTCGACTGATCGTCAAGTGTGACCGATTTTCGCCATTCAGCACCGTGGTTACGCCAACAGATTGATTGGTTGGATGCTGACCGGGACAAGCTTCACTTCCACCATTGGGCTGGGATAGAAAGAGAGAGACACGAAGGGCAGCGAGCGACATAGAGGGAGTGATGGAGGTGCAAGGAAGAGAAAGGGTGTTGAGCCTCAGTTGTTAAGGAGGTTTAGGGGGTGCAGAGATGCCCGAGAGCAGGTGAGTGGTGCAGCAGAGCAGGTGAGTGGTGCAGCAGAGCAGGTGAGTGGTGCAGCAGAGCAGGTGAGTGGTGCAGCAGAGCAGGTGAGTGGTGCAGCAGAGCAGGTGAGTGGTGCAGCAGAGCAGGTGAGTGGTGCGGCAGAGCAGGTGAGTGGTGCGGCAGAGCAGGTGAGTGGTGCAGCAGAGCAGGTGAGTGGTGCGGGAGAGCAGGTGAGTGGTGCAGCAGAGCAGGTGAGTGGTGCAGCAGAGCAGGTGAGTGGTGCGGCAGAGCAGGTGAGTGGTGCAGCAGAGCAGGGCACGGGGTGTGTGGGTGCTGGACTCGCTGCTGATAGCCTGGTGCTGGTGGTGGGGCGTGACGCCAGTAGCCTTGCTGTAGAGCACATGGGTGAGGTGACAGGGCATGGGGCGTGCCAGTGTGGTGGTCGAGGTGTGCCAGTAAAGAAAAATCTCCTACACCAACGAAGCAACACAACGAAGGTGTAGACGACAAGCACGTCCGGAAAAAACCAGTCAAGATGGCTGAGGCTTACAACAAGAAGGGATGCGACGACGAGTATGATATGAAAGAAGAATGCCCCAGAGCAGTAAGAAAACACCTTTAGATAAGATTTGAATGGAAACGGAGCCTTGAGGTGGATGAAACAAAAGGACCAGGCGGGCATTGAACCCCGCTAATCTTCTATGATTAGAGGTTTGTGCTACTGGTCCTGAGAAGAATTCGTTGAGGTAAAAGATATGGTCTGTTGTGAAAATCAGCCATTGAGCGTTTCCCTCCTTGATCGGTAGCCACGGCCATACAATCGCACATGGGTCGCGGAAAGCGCGAGGCGGAGGGCAATCGGAGCGGTAATGGAGGTCGGGGGAAATCGAAGCGGCACAAGTCGCGATACCTGAACGCTGTGAGCCTTTAAACTTATGTCGTGACGCATTAGTCAACATAAACCGCCGGCAGGCGTGTACCAATGTTTTTCTTGGCTGACAGACGAATAACGACGTTAATCAGCGACAATTCTGCAGGCGCGTTCAGTCGCGTTTCGGTCGCGAGTCGCAGCAGCATCCGTTGCGCGTCGCCGCTGCTATGAAGCATCATGGAGGACGCAGAGCCGCTGCGCGCGCTCTCCGCCCACATCGCGTAAAAACGGACCAGGCGGGTATCGCCCTTAGATAGTTTCCCGCAGCTTTCCGCTCTATCGCCGCGTTCCTTCCGTCCCTAGTCCCTCCCCGCGCTGCGCGCGCTCTCCGTCCACAGCGCGTGACGCGGACCGTACTTGTCTCCCGCCGAGTAGCCATGGAGGACGCAGAGGCGCGCCGCTCTCGCCTGCGCAGCATGCGCGAGTCCGCGGCGAAGCAGCAGGCGGCGTCCCCCGGCGCGCCCACGCCTTCCGCCGCCCTCTCCGCACTCCCCTCCCCCGACTTCTCTCCGCCGCTTATCCGTACGCATCTGCGCGTGCGCCATCCGGGGAAGGCGGACCTGGGGGAGGTAGATATGCTAGACGGCCAGCAGGAGCAGCCACCACAGGCTCGGGGAATTTCTCATAGGCCTCATGTAAATATCTTCAAAGCTCTAGCGTGTTTGTCTTAAAGCCCTATCATTCTCAGCTTCCGAGGTACTTGATCTACCCTACTCCCCAGCACCACGAGTGTCAAGTGCTGCCGTTTATGACTCCCAAGTCATCTCTCCATCATTTCTCCCAAGTCATTTCTCCAGCATTTCCCTCGCAGCATCCGGACTCAAGCAGACGCCATCACTGCATGTGACATGCTGCGCGCTGCAGGGCCCAGGAAGGTATGCGAGGCTACAGGGGAGGAAGAACAGTGGGTAGTAGGTAGGTGAGGGGGACTTTCTGGAATCTTAATACTGTTTCGAACAAACGTGTGGCGGTGGATTAGCCTGCTGCTTGATGCTGCGGGTCCCAGAAAGGTATTCTGCACGGCTAGGGCCTAGAGGGGACGAAGAACTGTGGGGCAAGAACTTTCGGGAAACTCAAATTGTCTCAAGTGTTTTTAATGTAAGTATGATGGTGAAGTGGGATGGTTTTGCATGCTCTAGGGCCCATAAAGGTATCACATTGCGTGGGGTTCAGGTCATCTAAACCTCATGGGGGGTGGGGGTGGGATGGGGGGGGAAGGAGCAGGGGGAGTGGGGGACGGGAGGGGGAGAGAGAAGGGCACACCTGCTGAGGACGGCATGGTGGGCGTGCTGACGTCATGGTTTGCTTGCTTGCTGGCGCTCTGGCGCTGCTGCGAGAGGGGAAGGATAATCCTCGAGTTTCCCTGCTGAATTGATTTACCAGCAAGCAACAGCTCCTCGTAATTCATCAGGTGAGGCACGAGGAGTGGAGGGAGTGTACTTGCTTTGCTTTGAGGAGGAAGGGAGGGTGAAGAAACACCTCTTTCAACTCCACTCAACCGCTGTCACGTAACCCACGACACTCCCATCAGGTGGAGATCACGAGCATGGAGGTGGTGGTGGTGGAGGGGAGATGTCCCATGAAGCATCGCCGCCTCTCTTAAGCCCGCTCAACCCCTGTCAACTGCTTTCAACCCCCCCAAAATATTGTAAACACCCCAAAACACTCCCGTAATGTGGTGATCACGAGCATGGAGGTGGATGGATGGCCGGTTGCTGGGGTGGAGTGGTCCTTGCGGCAACACCCCTCTTAAACCTGCTCAAACCCCTTCAACCACTTTCAACTGCTATCAACCAACCCCTTTAAACTGTTTTCAACCACTCCCATCAGGTGGTGATCACGAGCATGGAGGTGGATGGCCAGTTGCTGGTGGTGGGTAGCGACGCCAGCAGCCCTGCTGTAGAGCAGGTGGGTGCAGCAGAGCAGGTGAGTGGTGCAGCAGAGCAGGTGAGTGGTGCGGCAGAGCAGGTGAGTGGTGCGGCAGAGCAGGTGAGTGGTGCGGCAGAGCAGGTGAGTGGTGCGGCAGAGCAGGTGAGTGGTGCAGCAGAGCAGGTGAGTGGTGCGGCAGAGCAGGTGAGTGGTGCAGCAGAGCAGGTGAGTGGTGCAGCAGAGCAGGTGAGTGGTGCAGCAGAGCAGGTGAGTGGTGCGGCAGAGCAGGTGAGTGGTGCAGCAGAGCAGGTGAGTGGTGCAGCAGAGCAGGTGAGTGGTGCAGCAGAGCAGGTGAGTGGTGCAGCAGAGCAGGTGAGTGGTGCAGCAGAGCAGGTGAGTGGTGCAGCAGAGCAGGTGAGTGGTGCGGCAGAGCAGGTGAGTGGTGCAGCAGAGCAGGTGAGTGGTGCAGCAGAGCAGGTGAGTGGTGCAGCAGAGCAGGTGAGTGGTGCAGCAGAGCAGGTGAGTGGTGCAGCAGAGCAGGTGAGTGGTGCAGCAGAGCAGGTGAGTGGTGCAGCAGAGCAGGTGAGTGGTGCAGCAGAGCAGGTGAGTGGTGCAGCAGAGCAGGTGAGTGGTGCAGCAGAGCAGGTGAGTGGTGCAGCAGAGCAGGTGAGTGGTGCAGCAGAGCAGGGCACGGGGTGTGTGGGTGCTGGACTCGCTGCTGATAGCCTGGTGCTGGTGGTGGGGCGTGACGCCAGTAGCCCTGCTGTAGAGCACATGGGTGAGGTGACAGGGCATGGGGCGTGCCAGTGTGGTGGTCGAGGTGTGCTTTGAGTCGAATCACTCACATGTGGTTGGATATGCTGCTGCTGCTGCTGCTGGTGCTGGTGGTGGGGAGTGACGCCAGCAGCCGTGCAGCAGGGGAAGCGAGTGAGGTGACAGGTCATGAGGGTGTTGGTCTGGTGTTGAGGTGTGGTTTGAGATGACTCCTGAACATGCTGCTTGTGCTGCTGGTGGGTAGTGACGCCAGTAGCCCTGCTGCAGAGGAGGTGTGTGAGAGGGCATGGGGGTGTTGGTCTAGTGCTTGATTTGATGTGTGGTGTGAGGATGGGGCAGGTTTCACACAACAGGTCGGCGCATGAGGCATGCCGTGTCGGTGAGTGTTAGTAGGTCAGCAATGGGCCCTTGTTTTGACCTTGGAAAGCACGTCTCATCACTTCACCCCCCTGCCCTTGTCACTTCACCCCCCTGCCCTTGTCACTTCACCCCCCTGCCCTTTTCACTTCACCCCCCTGTGCTGGTCACTTATCCTGCCTACCTGTAGTGAACTTGTGCCAGTTTTCTTCTTTCTCCCCCTCTTTGATTCAATTCTCATTCTCCCTTCAGTTTCTGTCACTCATTATCCCCTACGTTTGCACCTGCCCTGCCCACCCCTACATACACCACCCCTTACATACACTGCCCTGGCTCCCACTCTGGTCAACATCTTGACATACGTATTTCAGGAGGAGGGCCCCGGACCACCTGGATCATCTTGATCACATTCCTTGCAACGCTTCTGCTTTGCAGTGCCCAAGATACCCGAGTACTTCACTGTATGGCACTCCTTCTCACACTCTCCTTCTCACACCCTCCTTCTCTCAATCTCCTTCTCACACTCTCCTTCTGTGTGCAAATCAAAACAAGCAGCGCATATCGTCTCTCTCATCCCCCCTTGCTCTCCCTTCTGCTCTCCTCTCCCTTCCCCCCTTACTCCCCTCCCCCTCCTCAGGCGGCAAGGCGACAACATGAGCGTAATCGGAAAGGTGATGGCAGAAAGCTTGCTTGTGATTGGTTAATAAGCAGAAATGGGGTACAAGAGAGGGGAAGAAAACCCCCCTAAAATCCTGAAAAAACCCCCCCACAGCCCCCCCAAGGCCCCCCTAAGGCCCCCCTACCCCCCAATTCTCCTCACAGCCCCTCACAGCCCCCCTCGAACCGCCCTGGAAATCCCTGGGCATGGCCCATGCATATCTGCTCCCTGTCATATCACATTCCTGCTTCTGCTTCTACTTGGTGCTCCCTATCTATCATATCCCTCTCGGGCATGGCATGGCATGGCATGGCATGGCATGGCATGGCATGGCATGGCATGGCATGGCATGGCCAACCAGGGAGGGGCGCACAGCACAGAGAGCCAGGAGCTCATCCACCACTCCCTCTTCTGTTCTGCTTCTGCTCCCCACTCCCCTCCCTTTTCCCTCACCCCTCCCCCCTTTCTCTGCCCGCCTGCGTATATAATAACAAGCACATACATTCATATTCGCTAAGTCATCTATCACTCTACGCGTCGTAGCAAATAGCCTCGTGTTGTCGACAGGAGAAAATGGCACATGCGCTCCCTCCTTGTGCGTCTGTTTCTCTCTCTTCTTCTCCCTCATGTCGTGCCCTGCGCATGGCTGAACACAAGCAGGTGGCAACACATCTACTCCCTGTTTCCGTTTCTGCCACTCTTTCATATCCCAAACCTGGCCCAAACCAAACCTGCACTCCCCCCATCCCCCTGCACATATAATAACAGGCTCATACATTTATGTTCCTAACGTAATCAGATTCATCAATCCCTACCACTCTACACATTGCAAGCCAAGTGTCTTCGTCTTGGCGACAGGAGGGAAGCTGGCACCTGCGCAAGGGGAGGGGGGGAGTTGGGGTGGGGGAGAGGGGAAGCGGAGCAAGTGAGCGGGGGGAGCAGGGCAAGTGAGGGGATGGCAGGAGGTGTGAGGGCATGGTGGGATGGCAGGTGTGAGGGATATGGCAAGGTGTGCAGTGCATGCTCTGGGGCGACTCACAACGCACCTGGGGCCGGTTTGGTGGGCCATGCAGCATGGCATGGCGCTGCGCTCCCTCCTCCTGCTTCTGTTTCTCTCCCTTGTTCTCTCTCATGTCCCGCGCATGGATGATGAGGGACGGCCGCACAAGCAGCTGGCAACGCATCTGCTCCCTGTGCAAAGTATCTTCATCTTGGCGACAGGAGAAACTGGCACCTGCGCAAGGGGAGGGGAGGAGTTGGGGTGGGGGAGCAGAGCAAGTGAGCGGGGGGAGCAGGGCAAGTGAGCGGGGGGAGCACCCTAAACCCCCTTACCCCCTTACCTGGCAGGAAATGAAAGTCACCATGCAGGGAATGCAACCCACCAGCCAGGGCATGAACAGGCACCATGCAGGGCATGTGAAGGCACCGTGCAACATGCGAAGGCACCTTGCAGGGCATGAGAAGGCACCTGGCAGAAGGGGTAAAGTGGGAAAAGAGGGGAGGGGGTGGGTGAGACAAGCTCAAATGGGCAGGCGCTGCACTGGCAGCTGGCAGAAAGGGGAGGGGAGAGGGTGGCTTGGACGTCTCCCCTTGAGCAAAGAATGCACACAGGAACAACAAACAAGCAAGCAAAACAAACTGAAACAGACAAACAAACAAACAAACAGGAAATATTGGGATGGAAAGAGGGGACGGGGTGAGTGAGACCTCTTCAATCAACATGCGCTACACTGGCACCTGCTGGAAACGGGAGGACAGAGGGGAGGTGTTGAGTGTGACACCTCAAAACATTATGCCTTGCACTGGCACCTGCTGGAAAGGGGAGGAAAATGGCATCATGCAAGGAATGAGAAGGCATCATGCAGGGAACGGCAAGGCACCTTGAGGGAATGAGAAGGCACATGATTTTTATGTGCCCTAGTACATTGTTTTGCTTTTGTGTTCATACATCCATGCATCGTTCTGGTTCACTCTTACCACGTGGGCGTGCGCGTCAGCTTGCCCCACCCCGTGCTGCACTGTCACGCCCCGCTGGCAGCTGCTGAAACACGGGGAGGGAGGGAGGGAGGGAGGGAGGAGAGGGGAGGGGAGGGGAGATGAGGCATTGGTCAAATGACTCGAAACAGAGGGGAGAGAGGAGGGGACTGGTCAAATGACTCAAAACAAAGAGGAGAGAGGAGGGGATTGGTGAAAAGACTCAAAACTGAGGGGAGAGAGGAGGGGATTGGTCAAATGAGTCGAAACAAAGAGGAGAGAGGAGGGGATAGGTGAAATGACTCAAAACAGAGAGAGAGGAGGGGATTGGTCAAATGGCTCAAAACAGAGGGGAGAGAAGAGGGGATTGGTCAAATGACTCAGAACAGAGGGGAGATAGGAGGGGATTGGTCAAATGATTCAAAACAGAGGGGAGAGACGAGGGGATTGGTCAAATGACTCAAAACAAAGAGGAGAGAGGAGGGGATTGGTGAAAAGACTCAAAACTGAGGGGAGAGAGGAGGGGATTGGTCAAATGAGTCGAAACAAAGAGGAGAGAGGAGGGGATAGGTGAAATGACTCAAAACAGAGAGAGAGGAGGGGATTGGTCAAATGACTCAAAACAAATAGGAGAGAGGAGGGGATTGGACAAATGACTCAAAACAAATAGGAGAGAGGAGGGGATTGGTCAAATGACTCAAAACAGAGAGGAGAGAGGAGGGGATTGGTGAAATGACTCAAAACTGAGGGGAGAGAGGAGGGGATTGGTCAAATGACTCAAAACAAAGAGGAGAGAGAGGAGGGGATTGGTGAAATGACTCGAAACAAAGAGGAGAGAGGAGGGGATTGGTTAAATGACTCAAAACGAATAGGAGAGATGAGGGGATTGGTCAAATGACTCAAAACAGAGGGAAGAGAGTAGGGGATTGGTCAAATGACTCAAAACAGGGGGAAGAGAGGAGGGGATTGGTCAAATGACTCAAAACAAAGAGGGGAGAGGAGGGGATTGGTCAAATGACTCAAAACAGAGGGGAGAGAGTAGGGGATTGGTCAAATGACTCAAAACAGGGGGAAGAGAGGAGGGGATTGGTCAAATGACTCAAAACAAAGAGGAGAGAGGAGGGGATTGGTCAAATGACTCAAAACAGAGGGGAGAGAGGAGGGGATTGGTCAAATGACTCAAAACAAAGAGGAGAGAGGAGGGGATTGGTCAAATGACTCAAAACAAAGGGGACAGAGGAGGGGATTGGTCAAATGACTCACAACGCACCTGGGGCTGGTTTGGTGGGCCATGCGGCATGGCATGGCGCTGCGCTCCCTCCTCCTGCTTCTGTTTCTCTCCCTTGTTCTCTCTCATGTCCCGCGCATGGATGAACAGGGACGGCCACACAAGCAGCTGGCAACGCATCTGCTCCCTGTGCAAAGTATCTTCATCTTGGCGACAGGAGAAACTGGCACCTGCGCAAGGGGAGGGGAGGAGTTGGGGTGGGGGAGCAGAGCAAGTGAGCGGGGGGAGCAGGGCAAGTGAGCGGGGGGAGCACCCTAAACCCCCTTACCCCCTTACCTGGCAGGAAATGAGAAGGCACCATGCAGGGAATGCGAATGCACCTGGCAGGGCATGCCAAGGCACCATGCAGGGCATGAGAATTTACCGGGCAGGGCATGAGAAGGCACCATGCAGGGCATGGGAAGGCACCTGGCAGAAGGGGGGAAGTGGGGAAAGAGGGGAGGGGGTGGGTGAGACATGCTCAAATGGGCAAGCGCTGCACTGGTACCTGGCAGAAAGGGGAGGGGAGAGGGTGGCCTGGATGTCTCAACGTTCCCCAGAGCGCCATGAGCAGCGCCGTCGTTGTCGTTGGCGTGTCAGCGGCATGGCAATTGGCATGACAGCGGCGTGGCATCGGCGCCCTGAAGCGGAGCTAAACGGAAATCGCCATGTTTGGTGGCAGATTTTGGATGTGGAATGCCGCATTGCTGCTGGCTCCTGGAACGGCAGATGACGAGCTTGTGCTGGCTGCAGCGTGCCTGCCATGACCATGCACACGTCAGCACGAACACGGACAAGCAG